GGGACTCCTGAGCTAAGTGTTCACAGCGATGCTGTCATCCTGCGTTTAAGTCCAACAAGATTTCAGTGATGAGTTTGACTCGCCGCCTCATTAAATCTACCCCTGTTGGTTTCATCAGGTAGTGTGGTGGTTAAGGCACTGGACTCCCACATGGCTGGCCACAGTTTGAGTCCTGGATCCAGTGGTTTGACAATCATTATTGGGGACATGTGCATGTGTGCCCAAAATCCCAAGGTGAGAATGGAGGAGAACGGATTGCAGTGTTCTCTCCCATGGGGGAGCGATTTCTCACTTCTCCTCTCTGTCTCTCTGGCATGTGTAGATATTCTATGACAAAAAAACTAAAAAACAAAACAAAACATAAAAGACCCTTTCTCCCTCCCTTTCCAACTTTGGCTCAATCCCAGCTCCTCCTGAAAGCCTTCCGCGGCCCTGCAGGGGAGACTGAACTCCTCCAAGACGTAGTGTATCGTTCCCTTCTTCCATTTCATAAGCCATGACGCTGCATTTACTTATGTTTATTGTCAGCCACTCCAGTAATCTGAAGTCCATCACACAGGGCGCCGACCGCCGTGCATCGTAGGTCTATCGAGCGCCTGGTGCAAAGATACGTTTTGAATCAACGACTGAAGGATTTTGGAATAGGCTGGCCTAGTGGTTAAGGCAGCTGCATCTCACTTTGGCCACCAAGCTGTTGGAATCTCAGTCCCAGAAGTTTGAAAAACACGCTGGTCCTGTGTGTGAGCATGCCCCAAATCTAGACAGGATGGAGAATGGGAGGAAAAGGGATTGCAGCATGACCTTGCCCCATAGGTGGCTTTCTCCTCTTCCTCTTTCTCTTGGTAAGCACACACCCTCTAGCAAAAATAAAATGAAACAATAAAGTATATATTTTTAAATATCATTTTAAATCAACTGAGCATTTAGAAAGCACCTCAAGAAGGTGGGCGAGGGTGATGGGCAGTAACGCAGTGCCCCCAGTGCTAGAACCCATTCCAGAGGTTGCCGTCCCGTTCCCAGGTTGACCTGCATACACCAAGGTTGTGTGGGTTTGTGTGCGCACGTGCCGGAGATCCTGGTCGGCTGGGAAGGCTGGGCAGGGGATTGCAGCACGAGCCCTGCAGAGGGTGTGCCCTGCCCTCTCTCATGCAAGAAAGAAAGAAACTTAAAAACTAAAGTACGCAGATGAGTCCTAATTCCTCCCCGTCTCCACCTGCCTTCCGGTGGGTGTGTTGTGGGTGTCATGGTTTCCGTCTGCAGCTCTTGACAATAACATTAAACGTTCTCTCATGTGCATGTTGGCCTTTCATGTGTCTTCTGTTGCCAAGTATCAAGTCAAGTCACTCACCCACTGCAGTGGAATCGTTGGCCTTTATTTTTGAGTTGTGCAGATTTTTTGTGTGTCTATCCTAGACATTGGTCCTGTGTTTTGTCAATGCATTTCACTCCATGGCTTCCTTATTTCCCAGATTCCTTTTGAATAGTAGACATTCTTAATTTGGGCAAAAATCTAATTTATCCAGTTTTTCCCTTTTGGAGTTTCTACCGGGTCGTGAGGATCCTTTGCTCTCTCCACTCACCACCACCTGCCCCCGAGTCATGAAAGTACTCTCACGTCTAGTTTTTAAAGTGTTGTGGTTTCAGCTTTTATATTTAGGCATATGATACATCTTGAACTGGTTTTTGTTTTGTTTTGAAGACATAAAATAGACCCCTCTTATAGCAAATCTGTTTCTATTTGATAGTGTTTTGATATAACCGGGCAGAGTCTGGTTTAAACTAGTGTGGTTGGATGACTCATGGGACCAAGGCATGTGCATACTGGTGAAAAATCTGAAGTGCCTTCAGACATACACATAGTATACGTGTGTGAGTCTTTCTTCAGATTCACATTTCGCCTCCCGTTCTATTTGCCTCGTTTTTTTTTAACCTTCCATAATGCGGCAGCACGGGTGAACTTATCTGTACCCCGGTGCCCTGATAGGAGTTTACAGTGTGTTTCATCTTGGGCCCCCAAAGGTGGTCCATATCTTGAAAATATCTGTTTTCCTAGTAACCAAGTAAAACTCAAAGCATCATCCTGACCGTCACGATCGAACCCGAAGGATGATTAGAAAATGCTGGAGAAGCTCATGTCCGTAAGACATCTTCGCAGACACTTGCTTAAGACACAGTGGATTTTCTCAGAAGGCTTTCTTGGTGTTTGCGGTTCGGGGCTGGGACCTCTACTGAACCAGATATGTCAGCCCCTTTTGATCCTTCCTGAGAAAGACTCCACTGCAGGCATGACTTCTTAGACTACATCTGCTTGTTTTGATATTGTTGGCAACCTTGCTCCCGCTTTATGAAAAAAGGAGGGGTCAGATTCAAGAGCCAGACAGACAGTCTCAAGCCAGGTGCTAGAGGGAGAAAATATTTGATTTAAAGTCATTTCTAAATACCAGGCCGTCACGGCACCCTGGGCTGGCAGTGTCTGCACTCTTGGGAAGAACCTGTGTGGAGTCCACAGGGAGCACCTTGGCTAGCGGTCTTTGCCACCACTGTCCCCACATACTGTTCCAGAGGGCATAAACTGGTCACCCACCAGCCAGTTGGTGGCTGGAGTAATTTTGATAGGATATGTTCCTTCACTCCAAGAGCCTATCAGTCCCTTCTAGAAGGAACTAGCAGACACGTTCACCATACATCCCAACATAGGGCTGGGCACAGAGGCCATGCATGACACACAGTTATTTAATTTATTTATTATTTAGTTAGTTAGTTTTTAGTCTTGTTATATGGCATGTGCTCTCGCCAAAGAGAGAGGGAAAGTGAGAAATCACCCCCAGGGGGAATGGCCACACTGCAGTCCCTTCTCCTCCATTCTCTTAGGATTTTAGGCACACGTGTACACATGATTTTTTTCAAGCTGCTGGGTCTGGGACTTGAACCTGCGCAGTAGGCTATGTGAGATCCAGCGCCTTAACCTCCATGCTACCCACTGGCCCTTATGACAGTTATTGACTTGACATAAAAACGTTGCTTTATAGCCTTGAGACTGAAGGGAGGGCCTCTCTGAAGTTTGCAGAAGCAGCCAGGGGGGTTTGCATGTGTCCTGCCATGGTCCCATTTTGGTCCCATCCAGAATACGCAGCATATGAGAGGGGCCAGTGCCCACTCCCAGGCGTTCACCCCCACTCTGACCCCCATTGCTCCGACTGTCACCCACCTATTTGCTCTGCCGCTGCTCCCCACCTTTGCCTTTGACAGCTGTCTCTCTAGAAGTAGCCATGGAGAGTTGGGAAAAAGAGATGGGATCCATTTCTAAACTCTTCCTTTGCAGGCTATGGCGAAGAAAGCAAGACGCGTCTCCCTCGCTTGTATTTGGAAAACAGGTTCAAAGACGCGTCTACGTAGCAGCAGTGAAACAGAGACGCTTTAGGGTGACTCCTTAAACTCCTGGAGCACATAAGTTGATCTTTATCATAAGCACAGGCCAAGATTTCAGCCTCCTAGTAACGCGCTGCTGGACTGAGACAGACACAGTGTGCTGATCACGGAGACGCTCACCAAACGGGGATCTGAAAGCTTTGGAGGGTCGCAGCGTGAGTGACGCACCATCTTAGGGGTGCGCTAGACCTCAGTCCTCACACTGCCATTTTACAAGTGATTTTTTTTTTTCTGATTTCTTTGCCCCATTGGGGGCCCATCTCAGTGCAGCAGTAAGGCAGAAATACTGTAAAGACTAGCAGATGTTTGCTTTAATAGAAACCATGTTTACCTTCCTTCCGTGCTTTGATGCGTTCTTACTGTGATGTCTTTCTGAGGGCTTTGAATGAGAAAAAGACCCCAGAATTTTGGCAGAGTTCGATAATTCAAAGTCCTTTTTATTATTATAAAAGGCATGAAGCATTGGATTTGGAACACGTCTTAAAGGAAGGTGGATGGCTCTTGTCAATGTGACGTTTAGAGATGGTCTCCGTAACCCTCTCTGGTTCGCAGTCAGTGTCTCCGCCCTCCTCTTCTGACCTGTCTCACCCAGTACTCGCCCTACCAGGCATGCCGGGCGCAAGTGCATTACGGGAACACCGAAGCAAAACTGAGGGCTGAGATGAGTTACCATACCTGGTCAAGGAGGGGACCAGAGAGCGTGACCGTGCCTCCCAGGTTTTCCAAGGATAGGGATCATCTCTTTCCCGCAGGGCAGTGGCTGCAGGGGATGATGGGAGCTGTGGGTGGAAATGTGGGGCCAGACGGGGGAGCCCCCAGGTTTCATGATAACCATGTGCTTTCTCAGCACACGGTGGCCCTCCCTGTAAGGGTTCTGAGTAGAGAAATGATACGTTTATGCTTGGAACAAGCAGCCCGGAAGGAGGGCGGGCGCGTGTCCGGGGAAGGACAGCGTGGAGAAGTGCACAGTCGGGCAGTGAGAGCTGCAGGCAGGACCTGGGAGGTGCACCCGGGAGAGATTTCAGACACGGGGGTAAGGGGGAAGGATGCAGAGTCCACAGAGGTTCTGTGTTAGATTTGTTTTGGTCCAGGTTTATTTTTCTTTACTGAAGGAGAATACACATGTGAGAGCGAGTGTGCAGGATGGAGGGTGAGATTCAGGCACTCTTGACAGGCTCTCACTGTTGCAACCCTCCCATCCTGGCCCTCCAGCTAGCCAGGACCCCCCACACATCACTGTACCCAGCGTGTCCAGGTTGGCCAGAAATCCAAACCCAGGCCTCCCCTGTGGCCCAGACTCACGCAGCAGCTCCTGCCACTTGCACCACCACAGCTGGGTCTGCATTACAATTTTTCCTCCTGGAAAATTCTGTTCTTGTTCTTATTTTATCTTAATGATAAGAAAGAGGTCTTTTAATATTAAGCGTGTTCAGTATGACTTTTCCTTTTTTCTTTTTTTAAGAGAGATTTGTGCTATAGGATGCATGCACTCTCTGGAGAGACAGACAGAAGGCAAGAAACCACCCCCCAGGGGGCTTGGCCACAGTGCAATCCCTTCTCCATTCTCCTCTCAGGATTTTGGGCACGCATGCACATGTACCCCGCTGTGAGTTTTTAAGCCACCAGGTCCGGGACTCGAACTGCAGTCGACTACGTGGGAGTCCAGTGACGTAACCACTACACCATCTCCTGGTCCCTCAGAGTGACTGAGAAATTGCGAGGCAGGCTGAGTTCGCAGTCTAGTTGTCTCGAAGCCTGACTCCACCCTCGCGTGGTTTTGCAGGCACATCTTTTTCTTGCACATCAAGGAATCCCTCTTGGCGGGCCACCTCCAGTGTTCGCCAGAGCAGGCAGTGGAACTCAGCGCCCTCCTGGCCCAGAGCAAGTGTGGGGACTACAACCAGAACACCGCCAAGTACAACTACGAGGAGCTGTGTGCAAAGGAGCTGTCCAGCGCCACCCTGAACAGGTGAGGCTGCGTCAAGACCAGACACAGAGCAGCCAGTGTAGGAGCATTTCCTGTGAGTTTTTAAGCCACCAGGTCCGGGACTCGAACTGCAGTCGACTACGTGGGAGTCCAGTGACGTAACCACTACACCATCTCCTGGTCCCTCAGAGTGACTGAGAAATTGCGAGGCAGGCTGAGTTCGCAGTCTAGTTGTCTCGAAGCCTGACTCCACCCTCGCGTGGTTTTGCAGGCACATCTTTTTCTTGCACATCAAGGAATCCCTCTTGGCGGGCCACCTCCAGTGTTCGCCAGAGCAGGCAGTGGAACTCAGCGCCCTCCTGGCCCAGAGCAAGTGTGGGGACTACAACCAGAACACCGCCAAGTACAACTACGAGGAGCTGTGTGCAAAGGAGCTGTCCAGCGCCACCCTGAACAGGTGAGGCTGCGTCAAGACCAGACACAGAGCAGCCAGTGTAGGAGCATTTCCAGGACAGAATCCATCTGTGGCACATCTGGAGAATTTGTGAGGTGAAGCTGGGCCATGGTCTGGCTGAACCAGTTATTTTCAGAAGGTTCGTCAGCCTTTTAATATGTTAAACGTAGAAACACAAATATAGCTCACACAAATAAATGTCCTTTTACGAAATGCTGTATTACTCAAACTTTTTAAATCTCTGACCTTTTAAGAATGCAAATCTCCTAAATTATAAAGTCTATCCGTATACGGATGTTTTCTTCATCCCAGCAAGAACTAAACCAAAAGGCCTAACCTCGGCATTTTAGTTACCTAGTTCTGCATAACGGTTACCCCTAAACTTAGTAACACTTAAGTGGCCCAAAGCAGCAAACATTATCATATCGTTCTGTGGGCGAGGAACCTGGCTGTGGTGTGGCAGGTTCTCTCTGGCTCTCATGAGGCTTCAGTCAAGCTGTGGGTTGAGGTCGGTCTCATCCGAAGGCTCAACTGAGGGAGCGATCCGCCTCTAGGTTGGCTGCCGTGCTTTGTTGATCAGCCACAGGGACCCAGCACCTATTCATGACGTGGTTTCTGGCTTCATCAGGTCAGTGCAAGAGAGAACACACAAGACAAAGATCGGGTCTTTTTATAACCTCGTCTCAGAACTGAGTGGCACGTCATAGTTCTGTCGTATTCTCACCGAGGCTATGCCCAAAGGCATGAATGCCAGGAGAGAGGGTCATCGAGGACCAGAATGGGAACTGTCCACCACAGCAGACTAAACAAAATCTGGTATTTGGTTCAGTTGCAAATGATCTAGCCCGACCTTTATAATACCATACTATAACAGAGCTCCAGAAATACCTGGAGACGTGCATGAGAAGCTCCGGCATATAAATCTGTCTTATGTAAATGTCTAAAGACTGTGTGAATCATCTTCTTGTCTAACTCTTGTCTAACTCTGGCCTCTTGTGTCCTGTAGCATCGTTGCAAAGCATAAGGAGTTGGAGGGGACCAGCCAGGCTTCAGCCGAATACCAAGTTTTGCAGACCGTGTCAGCAATGGAAAACTACGGCGTCGAATGGCATTCCGTGAGGGACAGCGAAGGACAGAAGCTCCTCATTGGGGTCGGACCAGAAGGAATCTCCATTTGTAAAGAAGACTTTAGTCCAATTAACAGGTAACTCACGTCCTACTTTTTTTTAGACCTCAGCTTGTATATACACGTGCAGATTTTATTCTGAAAATAGAAAACAGAGAGGGTTTTACTAGACAGTTCTTTTAGGAATAAAGTATTTCATTTTGGGGCCAGTAGGTGCTGTGGAGGTTGAGGCAGCTGCATCCCACATGGCTGACTGCGTGGTTCAAGTCCAGGACCCAGCAGCTTGAAAACCGCCGGGCCCATGTGTGTGCATGCCCAGAATCCTGGGAAGAGAGTGGAAGAAAAGGGCTTGCATCATGGCCATCCCCCTGGGGGAAGCTTTCTCACATTCCTTCTTTCTCTTTCTCTCTTTGTCCTTGTCTCTGTTGAGCACACGTGCACTATAGCAAACTAAAAAATAAAAAGTACTGGGACAAGCCAGATGACTTACATTGTTAGACTCCCACATAGCTGACCATGGTTCGAGTTCCTGACCCAGCAGCTTAAACTCATGCCAGGCACATGTGCATGCATGCCCAAAATCCTGAGAGAAGAATGGAGAAGAAGGGATTGAGACATGGCCAACCCCCCTGGAGGTGGTTTCTCACTTTCTGTCTCTGATGAGTGCACATGCCCCTATAGCAAATCTCTCTTAAAAAAAAAAAAAACGTGTTTTCTTTTGTTGTATACATTCAGGCTTACTAGCAATTTACTTATCTTTTAAATGCTAACTGAAAGTCCATCAATTTGGCAGGGTTTGTATGTTTCAGACAAGTTTTTTTATTTTGTTAAAAATCTCATTTTCACCTGTACACACACGTGCACCCATATCCAAAACTTGCTCTAACACTTCTTTCCACGTGGACACAACTGCTTTTCCTGTCCCTTGGAAGCGCCGCGGTTAGTGGCCGCCCCAGGTTAAATGTCTGGTCTACTGCTGGGTCACCAGCCGGTGGGGACTCTGCAGGGACGCACACACAACGTGCTAAATCGCACCTCTGGGCTCGCTCATTTTTCTGTTCCTCTCTCTTAGGATAGCATACCCCGTGGTGCAGATGGCCACCCAGTCAGGGAAGAACGTGTACTTGACAGTCACCAAGGAGTCTGGGAACAGCATCGTGCTCTTGTTTAAAATGATCAGCACCAGGGCAGCCAGCGGGCTCTACCGCGCCATCACGGAGACGCACGCCTTCTACAGGCACGTATGACTTTGCCACCCCGGGCGCCGCCGCACTGGGCTGGTTCGGTGACGAGGTCCTGACAGATGCTGCTTTCATGTGTCCGTGAATCTTGCACAGAATTTAAGGAATGAGGTACTTCTGAGCGTGTTGTTTCTGCAGTAGTAGAAAGTGCTCGCCAGGTCGTCCATGGGACTGAGCACACAAACACCTCCCGCCTAGCCCGCACCTGCATTCCTGGAAGCACCTCCTATCCTTTGTGGCTTCCTGTTTTCCAGCAGGCAGGCATGGGTCGTCTCGTCCCTTCTGGGAGAGCTGCCGTCCTGAACCCTCACCATGTACTTTATAATAGATTCTTTTTAGTACAGTATTGATCCCCTCATTTTGGAAGGAACGTTAAGCTGTGATTGGACTCCAATATTTAGAGAACTAAATCCAAAGGATGTAACTGGTAGGCAGTCTTCCAATTTATATGTAAAAGCGGACAAATCGTGGAGCAAAATATAAACTTGCAGACATTTTTAACAAAGAAACCAGGGCTTCAAATATAAAATAGCCTTTTTCTTCCACAAGCTGCTTTGGAAACCGGCTCAGATCCAGGAGGAGGCGGTGGACAGCCACTGTCCGCTACACAAGGGTTCTGTAAAAGCTCACAGGAAATGCGTATCATTAAGTACCTACACGTGCATTTCCATTTTTTCTGCACCTCTCGTACTTTAATTCCACTTTCTGTGAACTTTTGAAGCCCCCTGATATTTGCAGCTCCCTTACCTGAGGTGCTGTGGAGATATTTGAGAAACCCAGAGGGGAATCATTGTGGTGTTTAACACATAGACAACTGGAAGAACCTTCCCGCATTCAAATATGACTACCTTTGTCAGCAGTGTCTGAAGGTCTGACTCGCAGAACCGCCTGGGCTCCGGGGTGTTAAAGCAGCTGCTCCATCTGTCCTCGCAGGTGCGACACCGTGACCAGCGCTGTCATGATGCAGTACAGCCGTGACTTGAAGGGCCACTTGGCATCTCTGTTTCTGAATGAAAACATTAACCTTGGCAAGAAGTACGTCTTCGACATCAGGAGGACGTCCAAGGAGGTGTACGACCATGCCCGGAGGGCGCTGTACAACGCCGGCGTCCTGGACCTGGTCTCGCGGGGTGACCAGAGCCCACCGAGCTCGCCTCTGAAGTCCTCCGAGGGCACCATGAACTGCAGCAGCTGTGAGGGCCTCAGCTGTCAGCAGACCAGGGCGCTGCAGGAGAAGCTCCGCAAGCTGAAGGAGGCCATGCTGTGCATGGTGTGCTGCGAGGAGGAGATCAACTCCACCTTCTGCCCCTGCGGCCACACAGTGTGCTGCGAGAGCTGCGCCACTCAGCTGCAGGTGAGTGGGGGGTGAGCGCTGCACGTCCCAGCTGCAGGTGAGTGGGGGGGTGAGTGCTGCATGTCCCAGCTGCAGGTGAGTGGGGGGGTGAGCTGCACCTCCCAGCTGCAGGTGAGTGGGGGGGTGAGTGCTGCACCTCCCAGCTGCAGGGGAGTGGGGGGGGGAGGGCGGGACGTCCCGGCTGC